TGTGTGTGTGTATATATATATCGAATCGTAAATTAATATTTTGCGAGAAAATAAAAGATAAGCCGGAAATGTTTAATAAGAAATAAATATGAGATTCGCAACAATCAATACTATGCTCGAAGTAGAGATAACTATTCAACCAACGCTAATGCAATTGGTTTCAACATAATTAGTTTTATACGACAAAAGAGAAATTAACTTAATTAATCATCATGTAATGAAAATCAGTAATAAATTTAAAAAAAAGTTAATAAATTAAATTTGAAATTCATTTTTCTGCTAATTATTTAATCGAATAATAAAGTAGAGAGTTTAATCGGATAATAATTTATTAATTTACAAATGTTCGTGAGAGAGCAAATTAGCATGTTGAAGTATCGGAATTTATGCGGACACGAAATTATGCACACGGTCATACGAAAGTAAACATGCACTAATCTGTTGACAACACATGTCTATACAATAAAATAATATAATCGCTTACAAACGTAAATTAATTTATTTATTGCACTTAATTTCATCGGAGTTCCGTCAAGAGCAGTTATAAGTTTTTTTAGCAAAAGTGAAAGACGCGTACTCGTATTTTCGTGTAGTGAGTATCGTAAACTGCATAGAAGAAAATAACCAACTTTGGTTTACGATGTGAGAAATGAGCGATATTTAAAATCAGATAAATATTTTTTCTAGTATGGTCTGCGGTGGACTGTCAAAGAAATTCGCGGTGACCTTACGACGCGGTGTTTTATAGTGATCAGATATCGAATTCTTTTTTTCCGTGTAGAAATAATAATAAATTATTTAAGCATTTACTCGGTATTGTGATTTAATTTTATTAAAATATTGAATTTACTCGATATTATGACTTAATTTAATTAAATTTTATTAAAATATTAAAAACTTAATAATTTTGTAAGAATTAAATTAACAACGAAACAAATTAATTAAAAATACAATAATAAAATTGATAGATAGCAAATGTCAGAGATTCAATTATACAAAAATTTTCTGGTGAGAGATATAGAGCATATTATTTCATCCGTACTCAACGGTTCTCATAACAGCCCATTAAATGATATCAAGCACATTAGCGCAAACGAGCAATTTAGTCTTCCTCGATGGGATCGCGTAGCAGCGAGGAAATTCAGGATGTGCAATAGAAAAAACAGTAGAAGCATATATATATGTATATACACGGTGTCAAAATGTCAAAATTTAAGCAAAAAATTTTTTAGATACTAAATTAAATATCTTTATACAAAACATCTTAAGAAAAGCTCCATTGTATTAATTCTAGACCTCTCTCTTCTTCAACTTTAAACATTTCGATAATTTAACCTCGAGTTAAGTATTCTGTGAAATTGAACGTTATATTTGCATCGTAAGGTACTTTCTCTCTATAGAAACCTATTTCCTCAAAATATCGCAGACGTATAAACTCGTCGTAGCGACGTTGTCAGGTTGAGAAATAGAGAATAGAAGTAGATTTAGAAATAGAACGCTGCCAGTCGTCGTCCTAGAATTTCATCGGGCGGCCCAAGCTGCGCCGGATGACACTGTTTCGGACGAGCGAAACGTATACTGCCGTTTCGATGCGACGCGATGTACCGAGCGATTCACGATGAATAATAAACAAGAGGACGGATCTAGGCTTCGACGGTATCGAGAAGCGCTTTCGCGACTATCGAAGTAGAGTCTTAAAATAATGACGGACGGGCATGCGAAGTTCCGCCGGGACCAGAAATGCTGCGCCGATGAATAAGTCGTGTCCCAAAATAGTAGCATCCATCCAATATAAGAATGTCTAGGTATCAGTTTAATTCCGCGGCAAAAATTTTTTTTTCAAATTTCTATTAATTTTAGAATATATCGTAGAATAGCGTTCTTTAAGAATTAAAAAAAAAATTTTTTTTCAAAAGATAGAACGACATTACACTATCTAAATATTATCTATTTTATACTTCGAACAAATGCTCGTTCAAAGTTTGCTAAAATTTCAAAAAGACAGAATACGCTTACATTCCTCACTGTTTTGTTTCCCTCCAATTAGCTTAAATAGCGATAATAAAAAAGAAATTCGCCGGGCTATCATTCTGCTCACCTCGCTGGGCTCATTAGGAATCGCCAGGAATTCGAAGATGTCTAATTAAACTATGAATAATGCACGATGCATTGCGCAATTAAAGGCACCCCGGTGTGGACGGCGCGGCGGCGGCGGCGGTGCTCGCGCGGACAGAGTTACACTTCCTTGAATGCAGCATCCTGTCGCGCAAGTATTGTCCGCCGTGGTCGCTCCGCGTTCTCTATGCCGGAGCGGACAATATTTACGCCGCCCCGACTTCCTTCCTACGTAGAACGGGCGAGTAAACGCGTACTACCGTCTCGTCGCGTAGAAGCCGCGCACGCACGCACGCACGCACTCGTAGTGGTTTCATTCATAAAGTCACGCGTTTCGCGAGGAAACGCCTGCGCGCGCGCGTTAACGACAGGAACCGACGGCTTCGCCCGTTTCTTCTCGTATACCTACTACACTACCT